AGAGCAAATAAAGTTAGGTCCTTAACCGAAATTAAAAAATATTGGTGTAATTGTTTATTAAAATGAATAGTTCATATTATTTATTTTATTTTACCCTCTATTATATCATTTACTTTTCCTATATACCTTTATATTCCGTTAGTGTAAACTTTAATAATGAAATATTCGGTTAACTATTTATTATTCATAACTTACTCATTAATTTTCATAAGGAAGGTCTTAGGTTCGAGTCTCATCCCAATCAAAATTGAAAATACTTATTAAACATATATTATGAATATGTTAGAGTGTATTAAAAAAAATACAATATAAAATTTAATATTAACTTTGATCAATTAATTAGAATTACGCATTAGACATTGATGAAATGGTACACCTAATTTACAGTATATATTCAATATTGATTAGAAACTACGTCTATTATCATTGTCTTTTTGGGGGAGGAGGATTCGGTTATGTTTTTGAAGGTGCACTGTGTCAAGGCACTAAAATTACAGTGAAGCACACCAGGGGACTAGATCAAATCAAGAATTCATTTCTAGCGGAAGTGGCAACAAGAAGAAGCATGGATCACACCAATTAATGGGGTTTTGTGTTGCAAAATTATGCTTAGGGTATATCCAGTCATGGTGCTTACCTCTAAAATTGCTATTGCACCAGTTAATCTAACATTTCTACCACAGGTCATAATGCATTCTTGAAATATTTACTTTTATGAAAATTTTGATAATCTTGCATTGATATACGTCAGGATACCGAATGATACTTTGATAAATTTTGAAACACTAATTTAAAAATACATATTGGAAATCAGACTATAGGCTATGTTTGGCAAACCTAGCTGAAAAAGTAGCTGAAAGCTAGAAAGGAGCTGAGATCTGAAAAGCTATAAGCTAGGAGCTAAAAACTGAAGAGCTATTAAGCTAGCTGTTATGCTTGAAAGTGTTTGGTAAAATTAGCTTTTTGATAAGAAGATAAATGTAAAAAGACAAAAAAATGACATCTTCATAAATTTTAAAATAGTTTGTTTACATATTAAAATTTAGACTAGAGTGTCAAATCGCACCATGAACCAATTGCAATATGTCATGCCGCACCCTGATCTTTCATAAGTGCTGATTCGATGCACAAACTGAAAAAATTTGTTCGCCTAGCTTTTTTTACAGGTTTCTCGGTTGCCTTGATGACATGGCGCCGGTAAACTGCTGATTGGACTTATTTTTCTTTTAATTGACTTGGTTTTTTTTTTTATTTATAATTTACTTCGTTAAATAAGCTTACTCGGTCAAGAAGTTGACTTTTTCATATCTTCCTCCGTCGCCGCCTCTACTACTTCCATTCGCCTCTGTACAGCTGCTACTGTCATTCGCCTCTGTGCGTCGACGAGACTCCGGTGGAACACGAAACCCATGGTCCCATTATTCGGCGAGAACCTGATGTGTAATTTCCACAGCCAAATCTGGAGGTTTAGGGTTCAAATCGGCCATATTGAACAGTTAGTTTTCAGTTAGATTTTAGCTGTGCTGTTAGATCTTTACTCAGTTTGTTATCTATTTCTCTGCTATCTTCTATGTATAAATAACTGCAGCTCATTCATGAATAAATGAACACAACTCATATTATTAATTTGGTACCAGTTAAGCCATTTGATCCTCATGGCTGATAACAATATTCCACCTGCTGCTAATGATGGCTCGTCCGGCGGTTCTACTGCAGTTGCCGCCGTTCCAGAGTCCAGATCGTCGACCTTACTACATCAGGCGCATCACCATGTATCGCTCAAACTCTCTTCATCGAATTACCTCTTTTGGAAAGCCCAGCTCGTGCCCCTCTTGCGCGGGCAGAACCTCTTTGGCTTTGTTGACGGTACGAATGTGTGTCCGCCGGCGATGGTGGCGTCTTCCTCGTCGACGACAGCGCAGATTGTGAATCCTCTCCATGCGATATGGGTGCAACAGGATCAGTCAATCCTGAGCATGCTTATATCCTCCATGGCTGACGAGGTACTGTATTTGTCCATAGGTCATGCGACCTCTCGATCGACGTGGGTTACCATCGAGTCTGCCCTCGGTTCTTCCTCACGGGCTAGATCGTTGAGTTTGCTTACGCAACTCCAAAGCCTCAGGCAGGGGGAGTCGACGCCGGCAGAGTATCTCGGGAGAGCGCAAGTGCTTGTGGAACAACTCGCTCAGGCCAGGCGTCCGATCGGCCTCGACGAACAGAACCTTCATGTTTTTTCGGGGGCTTCGACCGGAATACCGGAGTCTAGTAGCCTCCCTGATCACCAAAAGCGCGCCACTGACCATTCACGAGGTGGCGGACCTACTGGCAACTCATCAATATTTGTTTCCAGACGAGTCCAGCTCTGTTCTTCCTCCATCACCTGCGGCCATGGTAGCCCAGCATCCGTCTCCTACTTCTCAGCAACACCGTGGTCGCGGACGCAACAATCGTGGAGGTCGGGGACGAGGCCGCAACCGCGGCGGTATCCGGTGTCAAATTTGTGACATACCTGGACACACAACACTGACATGCTATCAACGCTACTCCGACACCACTGGCAACCGAGTTCCACCCTCACAGATCGGACATCGATCGGCATCGCCGCACCAGGCGCACGTCGCCGCCCACCTGCCTTACCAGCAAGATGACTTCCATATTGCTCCGTTCAATGAATGGTTGCCCGATACTGGAGCATCAGCGCATGCAACACCTCACGCAGCCAATTTGAATAACGTCGAGCCTTATACCGGAGAGGAAACACTACGCATAGGGGATGGTACAGGTTTGTCAATACAAAACACTGGATCCATACACTTTCACTCTAAGTCTCGGTCACTGTCCCTAAACAATATTTTACATGTCCCTAAGTTACGTGCCTCTTTAATTTCTGTACAGAAATGCACCCGTGACAATAACGTTTACTTTGAGTTCCATCCTAACTATTTTGTTGTGAAGGACCGTATCACCCAGCAGGTCCTGCTTAAAGGCCCCAGTCACGAAGGGATGTACTCACTTAATACGTCGCCTCCAGTTGCGTTTGTCACAGCCAAAACATCTCCGTGAATATGGCACGACCGTCTCGGTCACCCACATCTCCGCGTCCTCCGTCAAGTTCTTTCCCGTTGTCCAGTTCAAGGTTCTTTAAATACCCTCAATAATTTATGTACAGCGTGCCAGATGGGCAAATCGGCACACTTCCCTCTACCTCGTATTGAGCAGTCTAGCAATTCTATACTTGAGTTAATTTTTACCGATATTTGGGGACCATCACCAGTCCCGTCTGTAGATGGTCATCACTATTTTGCCCTATTTGTAGATGACTTTTCTCGCTACGTGTGGTATTATCCAATGAAATTAAAAACAGATATTTATTCTGTATTTCATGTGCTTCGTACCACCATAGAAAAATGCTTCTATAAATCCATAAAATGTATACAATCTGACATGGGTGGTGAGTACCGTAAGCTACACTCAGTCTTTACCTCAGCCGGTATCACCCACCGGCAGTCATCCCCACACACCCACGAACAAAACGGGCGTGTGGAACGTAAACACCGCCATGTCGTCGAAACCGGCGTGGCGCTACTTGCTCAAAGCCACGTTCCCCAAAAATATTGGTCGTATGCTTTCAAGTCAGCAGTTTATCTAATTAATAGACTGATTTTCACTGTTTCAAATAGTGTCAGTCTGTACTACTGTTTATTTAATCAAAATCTGAATTATAATTTACTTCGTGTATTTGGGTGTGAGTGTTTTCCGTGTCTCCGCCCATACAACAGACACAAGATGGACTACTGCTCCACTTTGTGTGTCTTTCTGGGCTACCGGACTCGATGCTTGGTTACAGGTGTTTGGATAGAAGGACGTGCCGTGTCTATATTGCCAGACATGTCCGCTTCAATGAAGATGTGTATCCTTATCAAGGTGAAAGTGTGTCGTCGACTATCTCTGCAGCTACCGGCAGTGCTCCCGGTGCTACTCCATGGGCGAGTGCCCCAGTTCAGCATCCGGCCCCCGTTGCTGTACCTTCATGTTTTCAGGTACAATTACCTGCTGCCGTGCCAAGTTCATCTTCGACACCTGACGCAGCTACCTCGTCCTATAATCCATCTACGTCGTCCACTACCACGACTAGATGCCGACGGACTGTTCGCCCAAACGTCTGCACTCACACCATGTAAATGAGGCAGCGGACAAACACTCAGCGACGGACACCAACTGCTATGGTTGTCTCGGCTGACGATAACGAACCAACCTGTCACTCCCAAGCGGTCAAATGCCCAGATTGGCGAAGTGCAATGGACACCGAGTTCAATGCCCTCTTACAGAACAATACCTGGCGGTTGGTACCCGCGCAAGATAACATGAACATTATAGGCTGTAAGTGGGTATTTCGCGTTAAGCGGAAGTCAGACGGCACCATTGAGCGATATAAGGCTCGCTTGGTCGCAAAAGGCTTTAATCAAATCCCGGGCGAGGATTTTTCAGAAACGTACAGTCCGGTTGTAAAACCAGCTACAATAAGACTGCTACTAGCCTTTGCTGTCTCTAACAACTGGACTATGTGCCAACTTGATGTACACAATGCCTTCCTGAATGGCAACATCGATGTGGACATTTACATGCATCAGCCCCCTAGCTACGTGAACTCCAATTTCCCGGATCATGTGTGTAAACTACAACGCTCTCTGTACGACCTCAAACAGGCTCCTCGAGCGTGGTTCAAAAGGCTTCATGATTTCCTTGTTCAAATTGGGTTCCGTCCCTCAAAAACGGATGTATCGTTGTTTATATTTTCTACTGGGCAGGTTCGCACATATATTCTCGTCTATGTTGACGACATTTTGTTGCTAGGGAACAATTCAGAAAAAGTGGAAAACGTCCTCGCTCAACTCTCCACTACTTTTAAAATTCGAGATCTGGGTGTACCTTGATTCTTCCTTGGGATTGAAGCTTCCTATGTCAATGGGTCTGTTATGCTATCCCAAAAGCGTTACATGGTGAAACTCCTACGCAAAGTTGGTATGGAAACTTGCAAGCCGCTTTCGACACCGATGTCAACCACTGCACCAGTCACCTCCAATGACTCTAAGCCATTTGATGATCCGACAGTGTACAGGAGCCTTGTTGGGTCGTTAATGTATCTGCTTATTACCCGCCCCGACCTATCTTATGCAGTTCACCGCCTGTGCCAGTTCATGCACAGTCCAACGGAGGAACGCTGGGTGGCACTTAAAAGAGTGATGCGGTATATTCAAGGGACTCGAGAGCTTGGCCTCCGTTTAACGCCTACCACTACACCGGTCCTGCATACGTTCTCCGACTCAGATTGGGCCGGATGCTCGGTTGACAGGAAATCCACTGGTGGTTACGCAGTCTTCCTCGGACCTAATCTTGTGTCGTGGGCCTCCAGGAAACAACGCACGGTAGCTCGCTCATCAACTGAAGCCGAATACAAGGCCTTAGCTGATTCTACAGCCGAGGTAACCTGGGTCCAGTCGTTGTTACGAGAGCTGGGATTGCATCCTCCCACTGTACCGGTTCTTTGGTGCAACAATTTGGGAGCCACGTATCTCTGTTCCAATCCTGTTTTTCACGCTCGGACCAAACACGTAGAGGTGGACTATCACTTTGTTCGGGACAAGGTGAAAACTGGGCAGATGAAAGTCAACTTCGTCTCCATTCATGATCAGCTAGCTGACGTGTTCACTAAGCCACTTCCGACTCGTTTATGTTTTTTAAGGGACAAGCTTGGCGTGGCACAATGTCCCCCGTCAGCTTGTGGGGGAGTATTGAACAGTTAGTTTTCAGTTAGATTTTAGTTGTGCTGTTAGATCTTTACTCGGTTTGTTATCTATTTCTCTGCTATCTTCTATGTATAAATAACTGCAGCTCATTCATGAATAAATGAACACAACTCATATTATTAATTTTCCATAGCTATGTTTGCCAAATACGTTCAAACAGGGAGAAAATGAGTTAGATGATTAGATCAAATTATAACTCAATGAAATGCTAAACTCGAAAATATGTTAGGTAAAGAAAGAAGTAATACAAAGATGATTTCCATAGACGTTCAAACAAACAAGCTATAAACATTCACTGATCTCAATGGGTCCAGAGAGAAGCAAAATAATAACTTGCAATGGTGTGACTGTTTTCTATTTTATTGTTCAACTGCAGAATGGGGATGTAATCAACGATGGTATCGACAGTGAAAATTAGGTAGCTCGATTGATGTGGGAGATTACAAAATAGGTGGGCAATGGCGGTGTTAATGGTGATTTTACGGCAGCGATGGAGTAACTCTGCCACCACTGCCACCAGCATCGGCACGCCGGAAGGGAAAGCTAAATCAAGAAAATCAATTTTGGAGGCAACCGTACCTATTATTCGGCGGTCCTGAGCATGAGTGTTTATTCGGCGAGAACCTGACGTTTAATTTCAACAGCCAAATCTGATGAGATGACGTTTAATTTCAGCAGCCAAATCTGATGAGATTTGGGTTGGGTTTCAGTCGTGGAATGAATGGCTGGAATAAGATTGGATTAAAGTCAAGTTTTGGGTTATTCAATTAAAGTGTTGAAATAGCTGCCACATTTGCAAAACAAAACACATCAATGCCAAATCACCGAGTTATTACATATAACTTGAAGATAACCTGTGAAAAAAGTTAGGCGGACAAAATTTTTTAGTTTGTGCATCAAATCATCACTTATGAAAGGTTGGGGTGCGACATGACATATGACAATTGGTTCATGGTGCGATTTGACACTTTGAAATAAAACATTTTGTTGCGATTTGACACTTTCAAAAAAATTTAACATTTTGAAATAAAACTATTAGCATAATCATGATCTAGCATCGCATAATGAAGTAGCAATATTGTTGCAAATCTCCTTCATCTAATAATAATAATTGCGGGATGAAGGAGAAGGGAAAATGTTTTAATTGGGAAGGGTAAAAGATGTCATTTCTTTAAAATAATGACAAATATAAAAAAAAAAAAGTTAGGAAGCTACTTAGCTTATTTTGGGAACATTACGAAACAAAACTTATACGGAGTAACTTATTAGTAGTTTAAAATAAGTTATAAACTCTTAAATAAGCTCTGCCAAACAGACTCTATTTGGAAAATGCAAGTGTGATAACTAGTTGATAACATAAAAATGGAAGTATCTCAATGTTGTACATAAAATGACATATTTAAAAAAAAGGAAAGAAATTAGTGTACGTTCATCTACTTATATAACTTACAAAAAATTATAACATACTACTTTCTATTTTAAGTTTTTTTTTTTTTTTTTTTTTTTTTTTTTTTTTTTTTTACGTACAACGTAACATTGATAGAATCAGGTTCCTCAATATGTAGACAAATCAAGAACTACATCTAAAGGGGCTCGAATTGCGATTCAAATTATCAATCTATCTGTGTTTTTTTTTTTTTTTTTTTTTTTTTTTTAGAAGTGTCAAATAGACCCATCTACTCCTCTGTAGTGCTCAATTTACACCTTCATCTAAAATATGTTGCAATTAGGCACATTAACTTCTTAAAATTATTGAAATAGCATTTTTTACAGGTTTGTGTCCGGTTGCCAGTCAAAATGAATGACATGGAATTTAATGAAAAAAAATAGGGAGAAGTGTCAAATAGGCCCATCTACTATGGCCAAGTGCTCAATTCACCCCACGAACTAAAATAAACTCTAATTAGCCACACCTACCAAGTAAATTTGTGCGATTGACTTTTTTAGTAGGTTGATAACCGGTTGTCTTTCCTCTGGGCTGACGTGGAAAATAAATAAATAATATTATTAATGTTATTTTATGACATGGATTATATTTACTAATACCTTACCGGTCGTTCGTTTCCTCATCCTCAGTTCGCGCATTTCTGAGAAGACAAAGTCTGCCATTGCTGCCGCGGAGCATACTGTTAGCAATGCTGGATTTGCCATTATGAAGAACAGGTACGTTCTCACCGGGGCAACTTGGGTCACTGGTGCCTTTAATAAGGTTACCAAGGCTGCTGGGGAAGTCGGGCAGAAGACAAAAGAAAAAATGGCTGAAGAACAACAGGTTAAAAATGCAACAGAAGGCTATACACAGTTACATGCTTCTGAATCCCCAAAGGCTTCTGCTGCTGAGGAACCAAATAAGTCCACTGTTCAGGGTTTAGTCCTTTAATTTGTGTAAATGTGTAAAACCCAGATATTTAAGTTTTAGAGGTTGCCTGCCATTTTCACTCATGCTACTTAGACTTTGAGCTGTAATTGTGAACTGTCAAAATTCAAACATGCTTTTTATACATCAAACTTATTTAATATTTTTGACTAGATAAATGATTAATGGTATTTTTCTTTGAAAAGCCATAGATGGTGAAGTGCAATCACTGGTACAAGGATTTATGATATGGTCTTAATAGATGTTGGCTCCACCAAGAACAGAACTCAGAGGTGAAACCCTGAGTGAACTTGTGGAAGCTGGCGGCTACCATTGCCATCAGTTTCAGCTTTGAGAAGTGCTCATTGTCTACTGTCGTCAATGGCTTCGCTGTCCGCTTCGCTTCTCAGGTTTCTGGAATGGTGTCGAGGCCGAGCTAGGGTTCACGATAAGAGAATTTCATATTGATTTGGGAATTTTAGTTTGATGACTTGTTTCTTTGTTTTGTTAGTGTTTGCCATGTAAACAAGCCACATAAGCCTAACCGGACACGTCATCGCAAATGGGTTATCAACCTACTAAAAAAGCCAATCGCACAAATTTACTTGGTAGGTGTGGCTAATTAGAGTTTATTTTAATTCGTGGGGTGAATTGAGCACTTGGCCATAGTAGATGGGCCTATTTGACACTTCTCCCAAAAAAATATAAATTTGTGTTGACACCTTCACCACCGCCTTCATCATTAACACACCCACCATTTGTTGTTATCAGAGCAGCATTTTCTGATCAAATTAAGTATACAAAGACTATCGCTATTTTCTTCTTCATCCGTTTTTTGTTCCTGCTATTTCTTTAAAACCAACAAAGACTCACAGTTTTCCATGTTCTTAGCTTCATATTACCAGAAGGGGAAATACATAAAAGAGAAAATATTTTCACATGCAGGGCAATGGTGAAATCTCAAAACGCCACAGTTCCTAAACTAGCAAATTCAGAATCTGAAGAAAACCATTTGACACAAGAAAAACACCCAACTCAGAGATGGGAGATCAGAGAGTTCAAGTTCAGAGAGAGAGAATGGAAGGTGGGATTGGGGAAGAAAGTGGATTTTCTTCAAAAAAATCATTTTTCCGTAGTTGTGAGGCAAAACACCCTCTGCGATGTTCATCGTAGCGTCCCTGGAGCGGTGGAGTATGGGGGCATGAGATCGAGATTCGAATTGGAATCGACTCCAGCAGCGACTTCATCATCAACACACCCACCAGAATCAACTGCAGCCCCCCACCGCACACGCCGGAATCGACGCCAGCAGCGACGTGAAGAACACTAGGAAGAAATAACACCCCACCGTTAACACCGTCCGCCCGCCTTCCCATATCCCAGTCGTCGACTCGATGACGGCGGTAGAAGACGAGCTCGATCAACGGCCGCCGCAACGACGACGACGACGATGGGAGTAGCGGTTATTAGAGGAATCCGCAGCGGCGACGACAACGGATTTTAAGGATTTGCGACAAACAGAATGAATTGCGAAGCTCCGACGCGTCGGTGGTAGTGATAGATGTTGGAGGATAGGCTGTGATAGACGGAGTTGCAGAAGACATTGAAGCTATCGGATGAGGATGCGGAGGAGTCGAGGAAGACGCTGCACCGAGAAATAAATTTTAGGAAAAATCAGGTTTTTAATTAGTAATTCAGATTTGGCCTAATTGTTTTTCTTATTTTTATTATTTTAATGCCATGTAATCAATGACATGTAATTGTAACCGGGCCACGTCATCAAAAACGGATGGTAACCTATTAAAAAGTCTAATCGAACAAAATCGGAGAGTAAGTGTACCTAATTACAACATATTTTAGATGAATGTGTAAATTGAGCACTACAGTGGAATAGATGGGCCTATTTGACACTTCTGCCTTTTTTTTTTTTTTTTTTTTTTAATGTCACATATATTGCAAGACTTGCAAAGTTTATGACTATACTTTTTTATTTTCCGTCCGGCGTCACAATGCCAATTGGCGTGGTGGTGCTTGATATTTTAATATTTAAATGTTTGTTATTATATTGCTATTTGAAAATGAATTGAAATTCTATTGATGTAGATAAAATAATAATGTATTAAAATCGCAATAAGCTGAATATGGTTGGTAGTATGGGTACTGTAAAACAATCGTTATATCCTACACCACGGCACACATATCACTGTGCGTTGCGCGCCTCCCAAAACGATGTCGTTTTGGGGTAGTGTTGGGAGGCGCGGTAGGAAGTTGCTGAGATTATGTGTATTTGTTCACAACGTTATGTGTATTTGTTCACAACGTTATGTGTATTGGTTCATACAATTATATGTATTTTTTATACAATTATGTACATTCTTTTTATACAATTATGTACATCCGAATCAAAAAATTTTTGTGTATTATGTTAAGACTTGATGTGTATTATGTTAAAAGTTTATGTTTATTATGTATTATGTTAGATTATGTGTATTATCTTTTAAAAAGAGTATATATATTTTGTTATATAATTATGTACATTCATGTATAACATTATGTGTATTCTAGTATAACATTATGTACATTCTTGAACAGCGAGTTTTTTTTTTAAGAAAAAACTACTGCCATTCACTGGGGCGGGAAA